ATCCAAGTCACTTTTATATTCAACAATATATATATATATATATATATAAAGTTTATAGCCAAATGTGAAGAGTTGGAGATCAATGCTTTACAATTTCTAATGTATAGCCAGGATGTGAATTCCCTGAAATAAAAAATTATTCATTCTTATTTGAGATCAAATGTATGTGTTTTATGTTTTATCTTTCATAAAGAAATTAAGATCCATGTTATATACATTGAGCCATTCTTTAACTTGATATAGAGATCTTACTAAAATGTATCTTCATAACTTTCTATTTTAGTGGAACTATGAATTATTAGTCACAAGCAAGGAATTTTGGTTGACCATGTTAACCTAATATTTTTGCAAGTGTGGTTCAACTTTTTGGGTAGCTCTAACAATTTTACTTTATATATATGTACAAACATACTCAACATATTATAATCCATATATTTAATTGTGGCTATTGGCAGTATTTTAATACAACGAGTTGATTTAGCTTTTCAATCCTAAAGTCATTAATTAAATTTACACTTAATTGTTTAATCTTCTTCCAATACATTAGTTAGGTTTTATATTGATGTTTCATAGGTCCTTTCTTATAAAATTTTTTTGTAGACAATATCATCAATATTTTATTGTTGTTTCCTAATGTAATTTTGATGGATTGATTGGTAAATATGGTGCTAATAGATCCAATACATCACTATTAACATAAGCGATAAAATGTTCTTTTAGTAGAAATGTGAAGGGTATTTTTTGCTGATGTGACGGTCATTCAACTTGATTTCATTTGTTATGTTTATCTCAAGTCCAACATCAATTTTATTAAAAAAATTTCAATTATTATCAAGATAATTGATTCTAATTTAAACTATCACAAAAAACATTGAGATATTCAACTAACATCATATTACCATTTCTTAGGACAAATTAGTTATGCAATATGATCATAGATAGAGCCTTATGAAGAGAAGTAATATATCTTCATAAATCAACTGAATTAAAAGATCAAACCACTTTCACCATTTGAATCATTTCTTAATAATTCATTTCATGCATCTCAAACTATTTTATTAATTCATCAATGTGGAGAAAAATTCTTCGACAATTTTTATTAAAATTTTTTTCAATAAAAAATATTTATTTTAAATCTATTAAAAAAATTATATGCTCCTCAATAAAAGATATCAATTGAGTAGTAACTTTTAGTTTAGTGAAACTAAAAGTTCATTTTTTTTTCAAATAAAATGTTTCTCAATATTTTGCATATCTTTGAATCATCTATTTTATTTTACTTACTACTATTGAGTAATGTGTGACAAATGTTTCTCAATATTTTGCATATCTTTGAATCATTTATTTTATTTTACTTACTATTATTGAGTAATGTGTGACAGAGATGTCTCATGCAAATAAATTATTCTCAATATTAAACATCTCAATCTTCTTGGTCTACTCTTTATAAAATATAACTAATTTATTCATATAGTTCTTCTCTAAAACTATAAGAACATCATTGTCTATGATAAGTTCTTGGGGTTCTTTAGCATTCATCTTGAAATTTAGATTGAAACTATTGAAAAGCTGAGAAACTATCTCATTTTCTTTTATCTATAGATGTTTCTCCAATAGATCAACAATTTTCCTTTCCTGTTTATTATATATATTACTCTATCAAAAGTTAAAAATAACTCCACAACATCAAACATACTTACCCGAAATATAGTGGTTGAGGGGGTAATTTACCACCGTGAGGTCATGAGTTTGAATCACACATATTGTCATTTGGGCTCAACTATCTAAAAAAACACGCACCAAAACTTTTGCTACTTAATTGATAATTGTCAGGTGGCCAATAACTATCTACTTTAATTTAAGAAAATTTTTTATTAAATGATATCTTTAAATTTTTTAGGGTTTTATAATATGTACAGAATCCTTCTCTTTTATTTTTATTGATGTAAGGATTCAAATAAAGGAAGATGTGATATTTCATAACATAAAATTTGAAGAAGGCATAGATGAATAAGATGGGATAATGATAAAATAAATCAAATAAAATGAATAATACGGTTCGTTCTGAAAAACTTATCAATTTATAGGTAATAAAATTATTTAAGAAATATAATTGAATAAAAAATCCATCTAAATGATCAAGTAATGGTTATACATGTGTATATTAAGACAAAAAACTGTAAAACCTATATAAATAACTTTTTAATATAAAATACTCTTTTTAGTGAGATGAACAATTTTATTCATGAACTATCAAATTAACATGGATTTCCTCACCAAATTTAAAAATTGGTATAGCAAGAAAGATTTAGTAAGTTGATTTATAACTAGTGCATATTTAATGCATAGACGATTATTTGAGTCTACATTCTCCACTTCCACTTAAGTGTAAAGAAAATGAATGTTCTATATTTAAAGTAAGAGTTAAATTGGAATTCATTGGCATAACATCCTTACTAAAATGCTAGCAGTGGTTTCATTTAAGAACCTATATATATCAAAATTACAGAAGGGTCAAATAATAGTGTATCTAATATAACATATAAGAATATATTGATATACAACATGTTACTATTTGATATTGCTTGAGCTCTTATTCTTCCTAGTAATAAAAGAGTACCTAACTCTCTCATTGCGGATGTGAGCCTCAAAACTAAACCTCTATAAACCTTTTAATCTTCAATATATTATTATTTACTCTTCTTAAATTATATTTTTTATTATATTAGCAAAAATTTTCTTATCAAACTCTTGAATAAACTTCATTTCAATTACTGCTTTTTAGAGTGACAAAAATTTTCCACTGCTCATAAAGATACACTAATACGTAACATCATGACATACTAAGAAGTTATACATACTCATAAAATATAGCAACATGAAAGCATAAACATGATATAATTGTCAAAGCTAGAACTTTTACATTTGGACATAATTTCTTAAGATTACTTGTCCAAACTAATAAAATCATTGTAATGCATGCTCTTTTATGAATAGCTTTTTTGGCATCATCTTATGCTAATAGATTCCAAAGCACAATCTCATAGCTTTGGTATCTGCTAGCTAGCTACTCTTTCTTCCTTCCACCATGAATGGTAGTGTAGCTGATCATTACACTACTAAATTGGAAGAAAAAAATTGAGAGTTTGCTTCACAATGTTTACACCATCACATTCAATTGCCTCCACTTGGCTTGACTTCATAAGTTGTACTTTTGGTGTGATGGTTGAGGACCAATCATTACTCCACAGACAATCATAACTAAAGAGTTATTAAAGACTTCATCTATATATATATAGAGTCAAATAATACTATTATTTTAACCTCTTTTTTGATCTCACACAATCTCATACTCTATATTCAAATCATTAAAACATTTTTTTATTATAATAAACTGACTCATGACCTAGAAAAGAAATCTCCCACAATGGTGAAATCATGTCACAAGTGGCTCCAATTCAAAGAATGCATATTAGCATTCTAATTTATTATTTCATTTTTAAATCACACATTCACTCAACTCATCATCTCATATAAAACTTTTTTCTAAGGTCATCCGCATCTCATGTAATAATTAATGAATTTGAGACCAAATGATTAAAATAAAATAACCCAAGATATGATGAAATGAGAAATATAATACCATGCCATACCAACCAATGCAAGATCTAACCATAATTTTTGTCCTGATCAATAAAGGGTAACAGAGGCATAATAATGGGAATAAAGAGACTGTTTCGATCGGAGTCATCCGTCCATCCTCCTCTGCAACCAAGAAGGTTGGCACTCGTCATTAGAACAAAGAGCTGGCTCAGCGATTCCGACCAGAAAATCTATTGCCATCCAATCTCTGAAGAGGCAGAGGGGAGGGGTGGGGGGGACCTCAGCAGCTTTAGAGAAACAAGAAGGGGAACAGAGGATTTCAGAGATCCAAAAGATTTTGGATCTAAGTGTGTCCATCACCTTTGACAGGTTTAGGTCAATGTAAGCATGGAGGAATGGGTAGGCACAGCCTGTATTCATAGGTGAGTCGGCCAAACCCTTGCCGACGGGAATTAGCCTCTCGCCATTAGAGCTCCTTGAGCTGGTCATGGGTCCACTAGAACATCCTGCATGTCAGCTTCCATGGCTGAGGGGATGAGGACAAGAATATAACGAGTCAGAAAAAGATCTTTTCTTTCTTTCTTTGGAGATAGACCCAGTCCAGAAGAGAGAGAGGGTGGGAGATGGTGAAGAGTTGCACATGAGGGCTGTGGGGGGCTCTGTGCAAAGCAGGGTCCCATGAGATTCGATAGCAGGACCTGAAATCGTCCCTAAACCCCACAGGCACAGAGCCATCTATAAAAAAAACCAACTTTTTAGAAAGATAGCAGCGAGATCTAACCTTCTGCTCTTTATATTGACAGCAGAGTTCTGTGCTTGTCCTGTCTCTCTTTCCTTCTTTCTCTGCATCTTTCCTTTTTACTCTGGATCTCTCGCTGGGTGTAAGCATATCATGAGTGGTTTTGGTATGTGAAATCTTCTTTTTCATCTGCTTCTTATTATAAAGGCTGGCAGTGCATTTACTCCTCTACGAAAAGTCGAAACCTTCTCCAAAACCCATCCTTTATCTTCCTCCCTCCTTGGTTCTGCAAGGTCTTCGCTATCATAACTACTCTCTTAGCTTTTGTCTTCTTCCTTCCATCTCTGGTTTACTTGACTAAAACCCGAAAACAAAGCTAAGCAACCTTACGTTGATTTTGTGTTTTTGTTCCATCTACATGTTAGTCTGAACTATAGGGGGAAAAATTAAAAGAGAGAAACAGCTATTTCTGTGGTGTTTTCCCTTTATTCTCCGTGCTAAAAATCTTTGGTTTAATCTCCAATGGAGTTCATTTTCTTCTACACCAGGTTTAATGGGCTCCTCATCCTTCTCACCCTCTGTTCCCTTTGCAACTTCATACAGAGTCCCATTGAAACCATCTCTCTGAACTATTTAAAAGCCACAAGCATGGCTTTCGGCAGCCCTTTGAACTTCCATGAAAGCACGAGCACAGCTTCTGTGGACTTCGGCAGGTTCATCTTCAACATCCCTTCTGCAGTTTTCAGGCCGAAGTCATCAGGAGACATTGCAATCCTCCTCAGCTTTCTCTCAGCTTCTTCTTCTACCACGATCTCAGTTGCAGCAAGAGGAGCTGGTCACTCTATCCATGGCCAAGCACAGGCTCCTGATGGCATTGTCATTGAGATGGATTCTCTCCCTTCCACAATCCAAATTCACAAATCCATGGATGGAGAAGAGGGATTCTCTTATGCTGATGTGAGTGGTGGGGCCTTATGGGTGGAGCTTTTGGAGGAAGGCTTGAAGCTTGGCTTGGCTCCAAGGTCTTGGACCGATTACCTCTATCTCAGTATTGGTGGCACTCTTTCAAACGCTGGAATCAGTGGCCAGACCTTCAAATATGGCCCTCAGATCAATAATGTCCTCCAGCTTGAGGTGGTGACTGGTAAATAAGCAGCAGAAACCATACTATTTTTCTTATTTATGAATCATAAATTTCGATATGAATAAAACTAAATTCTAATCTTTTTTTTTTTATATAAAGGAAAGGGAGAGATTGTTACATGCTCTCCTACCCGAAGTGCAGAACTTTTCTATGCAGTTCTCGGTGGGCTTGGTCAGTTTGGAATCATAACAAAAGCAAGGATTTTGCTCCAAGATGCTCCGCAGCATGTATAATTACTAATACTTCATTTCTTTTAATTGTCCATAATTTGGGCAAAATTTTATACCTGTTTTAATTGTCCATAATTTGGGCAAAATTTTATACCAGTAAATAAACATCTCTGATTAACGCAAGAAAATATTTCTGATTTGGCATAGGTGAAATGGGTGAGAGCATTGTATGATGATTTCAAGACATTTACAGAGGACCAAGAGCTTCTGATTTCGCAGCCAGAAAAGGTGGACTATGTTGAAGGATTCATTGTTCTTAATGAGAATTCTCTCCACAGCTCCTCCATGGTCTTCCCAGATCAGCTGAACTTCATCCCCGAGCTCCAGAAGAACACTTCCAAGGTTTATTACTGCATTGAGTTTGCAGTACATGAACACAAAGCTGAAGAAATCAACACAGAACAAGTAATTATAAAAGTCAGAATTAATTTATGTAAAACCATTGGATTTACTGTTTGATTTTTATTTTTTGGTCTTAGGTGGTGGAGGAGATAACAAGTAAATTGAGATTTCTACCTTCGCACATGTATAGTGCTAAAGTCAGCTATTATGATTTTCTGAATAGAGTGAGGATGGAGGAAATGAGCCTCAGAGAGAAAGGTTTATGGGAAGTGCCCCACCCATGGCTTAATATGTTTGTCCCAAAGTCTGGGATTGAAGAGTTTAAGGACTTGCTGCTTCAGAGTATCTCCAAGCAAGATTTTGAGGGCCCAATCCTTCTTTATCCACTCCTCCATGACAAGTATTACATTAAATACTCTCTCTCTCTCTCTCTCTCTCTCTCTCTATTAGAGAATATTACTTTTGGAATCCACACACAGGGATTGGTGGTCTTGCGGTAGTATTATGATGATATTCACCACAATATCACCTCAATACCATCAAATTCACGCATATCCATCCACATCTATTATGTCTACACGTAATACCTTCGGCTCTTATCTTTATATTTTCTTAGCTAAAATTTAATCTTCACAATTCTTTTGACTTTGCATGTTTAACACCCAAGTTGTAATTTTTACACAGCAAGAAGTTAAATTGCTCGCAACACATCAAAAATACTATTTCATTTGAAATAGGTGATAGATATGTAAATACATGAAAATAACTAGAGTGAAGAGTCATATTTTAAAATTTCTCTTTTAAACTTTTATGTAAGAGCAATCAAGATGAATACTTCAGCCATTAATACTAAAATGGAGCATTTACATATGTACAACCTTAATTCTGATGTATTTACATATTTAACCCCGTAATTTTTATATTAATTACTGGCACATCAGATCTCATCATTCACAAATTTAACATTACGCTATTTCTGTTTTATTTTTCTTCTTTTTTTAAAATGGAAGTAAACTACGCCTTTCATGCACAAAAAAATTAGGTGATATATGTGTAAATCCCCAAATTTAGGGTTCGTGACGCCGTCGTACCGTTTGGTTCTCGCTTTTTGTCAGTTTATCCAAAATTGTATTTGAGTTTTTACACTAAACGCAGACCGCGGGACGACTACCACGGCGTTTTATCCTGAAAAGAAACCCCGTAATTTTTATATTAATTACTGGCACATCACATCTCATCATTCACAAATTTAACATTACATAAATAAGTACGCTATTTCTGTTTTATTTTTCTTCTTTTTTCTAAATGAAAGTAAACTACGCCTTTCATGCACAAAAAAATTAGGTGATATATGTGTAAATCCTCAAATTTAGGGTTCGTGACGCCGCCGCACCGTTTGGTTCTCGCTTTTCGTCAGTTTATTTAAAATTATATTTGAGTTTTTATACTAAATGCAGGCTGCGGGACGACTACCACGGCATTTTATCCTGAAAAGGAACATTTAATCTGTAGCTGCTTAGTATTAAATATT